TGGCATTGATAGTGGGGTATTTTCCTAAATTTTGTTATTTTGTAACAAACCAAAAAAAAAAAAAGAATGAAGTTAATCCCTTAAAGTTTGACTTAAAACTTATTTTCCATAAGATGGCTGAAAAATATCAATAAATTGTCTATAATAAACTATTATACAGAGTTCTTCTTAGTAACACCGAGTAACACCGAATTTCGCCGCTAGTTCTTAATAAAGGATTTCTATCTATAACACCTTTGTGGTCGTTGCTCGGGGTTAATATTTTTCAATGTTTTAGATATTCAGTAAATTTCCTATGGCCGTAATAACTTTCAAATATTATAGCATTGTTCACAAATCTAATAATGAAACGAAAACAGCGGCAGAGCTTGATTCAACTGCAAGTGCAAACGCATGAACGCCTCCCCTCATTTTTCGCGCGTTTACTGTAAAGTTGGGGTTAATAAGAGGTTCTTGGAGAATTTTTCCATTTTATTGCTCTAATAATATTTCTCAAATAATCTTTGCGTCAAAGGTTGTTCGAATGCCAGTTTAGGATGGAATCATATGAAGAAACTGTTCCATAAATGACAAAAGCCGATTTGGGACCTAGTTTGTCGCAGATTTTGTCCACTTACCTCTAATAATCTAAACCAAAAATTCACGCAAGACAATTTGTATGTCATGGCAAATTTTGAAAGCATCCGATGTAAAACTAGGCTGTTATGCCCGAAAAACAGGTTTTTTGAACAATTTTCCGTGGTTTTTCTTTATACGCGAGCAGCACCAAAACTACGCTAATCTTATTTCTTGCACGATGGCAATTTTTTTTGTGAGATATTTGGAGAAAATCTGATAAAAATGTGGAAGATATTCAAGTTTATATATTTTTTTTTATTTTAAGTAGTACGAAAAACCCGACATTTTCACACTTTTTTGAAAATTTTTGTGTGGATGCGATGTCACAGGAAAACTATCAAGCATTCTCTATAAACCTCTTAAAATGAGGTATGCTTTACATTAAGTGCAAAGGACCTTAGCTCATCCAGTAAACCTTTTTTCGCATCTAACGGTTCTTGCAAAAAGTCGTACCCACCTTCTGTTTAATCGATTTTCGCCAAAGACCGCGGATGGGTGGGGGCTGCGACTGAAAAGTTGATCTTGACCTAGTTTAGTACATTTGCAATGGGTATATACAATTTCTTCGAAATTGGTCAAGAAATGTGGACGTGCATAAACTGCATACCCACACGCAGACGCATAGGCACACAGACAGACATCATTTGTTATACATATATATATATATATATATATATATATATATGTGTGTGTGTGTGTGTGTGTGTGTGTGTGTGTGTGTGTGTGTGCTTGCGCACGAGTGTGTGCGTGTGTGGATTGATAGATAGATGTGAACTGAGATAGATTGATAGATAGATAGGAATATAATGAGATAGATAGATAGATAGATAGATAGATAGATAGGAACATCGTAGATAGTGAAGCGACAGATAAAACTCTTTCACGGCTAATAATTATAGAGTACACAGTACAGAACAACTTACGATAAAAAGACATGAGAAACAACAAATCTTGACAAGGATGTGGCTACACTGCTAGTATATATTTTTATGAACCCTTGTTCGATATGCTCCATCGATTTTGTAGGCCAAGGTTTCAAAATATATCAATACATCTTTGATAAAATTTCAGAAGCGCATCACCACTGTTTCGATCCGCGATCCCTGACATCAAAGCCAAATCGATTTTCCATCAATAAACTCTTTTGTGATGTTACGAAAACCTGCTGAAAAGTTCTTGGCCTCAGGAATTTAAGTTTCCTTATTTTGGGAAGTGGTTTTTGAACGAGAGATTATCAGCACCCTCTTGCTGCCTATCTTTTCAGAAATTTTGATGAACATTTAAATACTTGTTCTGTCTAGAGTGGATGTTCGTTAACTTTGAAGCACGCTTTCTATTATTAGTTTTATTGTTAATACTTTTTATTATTAGTGTCATAATACACCAGTTCTCGAGTATCGAGCGGAAGAAAGTAACGTTCAGTCAGTACGAAAGTGTGATTATTGAGAAATAACCTTAAGCTAAAGGAAAAAATAATTGGTCATTAGTATCTTGAGTCGGATCAATTTCAAAAGTCCTTGCTAAACCTGAGCTCAAATTAAGAAAATCAGTAATAATTTCGATTCAGCCACTGAAAACGGCAATTAAGCGAAAGATGATGAAAATATACATCAATAGAGAGATATTAAAGACCGGAAACGAACGAAAGCACTCAGACACACACACACACACATTTATATATACATCCTTGTCAAATTAATTGAAACAAAATGAATAATTCCTTTATTATTTATTTTTTCGTATTTTTCAAATGCACATGTTAATACTTCGTATATCTATTTCACGAATACGTTCCTTGCAGATGGACCACAGATTCTCAATTGGATTTAAACGAGGAGAGTTTCCGGGCTAGTCTAGTACTTTGATTCGCTCATTGGTATGGCTTGCCAGTTTCTTCATGCAGCGTTACAATGTTTATCGCAGACAATGGCCGTAGGACAACTAATCGACAGCTGTGACAATAGTATCTGAGTGTGAGAAAAATCTAATGCAATCATGGATGACGCAATATTTTTCTAGGCCAAACAAATTTCGAACGGTATTCTAAATGATGAGGTATGGTTATACCACCTCTTTTTAAACTGACCCTCAGTGCAACCAATGTATTTTAATACAGTGCCATTGTCAATTTCTACCTCGGCACAATACACGACACGTTCTGTACAACATATCCCATTTTATGGGCACTTATTTTTTATTCTACAATTAAAAGGACCTTGATTTCACTTCTCGAGTCCTCTTCAAGATTTTTGTTCAATTTTTTGATAATATTGCTTATGTTGCTAGTGCAACTGTAACTCACTTTGACTGTATTGTCGTTAAATAACTTGTACAGCCTGAAGGCTTTAGGAAGTGTTTATGTAGAAAACTAAAAAACATTTTCCCTATATTTGTTTTTACTTGCATGTTAAAGTGTGGGTTGAACCAGATTATTTAGAATACCAGAAGACCAGTTCAATACGAAGATGGCAAACCACTATTTGACCTTTATGGAAAAAATAATAGAAGCCCGGCAATTATGTGGAGTATTTTACGGAATGGAAAGGTTAGCAAAGTGAATGGCAACTCGTGTAAGCTGTGTCGGGAGAAGAAGCTAGCTGTTGCAACATACAAGTCTGTCACTGAGTTGTTGAATTGAAGGTCTTAGATCATGGCCAAATGTACACATGTCAGGTAGATAATTTTGTGGCTATAAGAACCAGGTTAAAGTAGGAAACTTTTTCTCCTTCCCTTTCAATTTAACTTAATTTAATTGGACTTTGTCCAACTACAACTCCCCCACATTACTTCCGGTGTCGAATGAAGGCATTTAAGTTCATGCGTTGCATTTGATTGATTGACTAAACAAACGACTCCAAAAAAATTTCGCTTAAAGATGGAACAGAGCTTATTTAATTCAAATAATTATATTGAAGTTTTCGGCTCTTGTTTTGAAACATGAGACTTCTTATGTAGCGTGTTGGAATCATATTTTTAAATAAATAATTATATTTATGCACTACTTTTGTATCGAGCACTATTTTTTAAAAATAATAACAAAAATACTAAAGAACTTTGGATTACTTACCTAACCAGTCCTTTCCTATTTTCTATATATACACACACACACACACACACACACACACACACACACACACACACACACACACACACACAAATAAATGTAAATGAAACAGACTACGGTCTTTAGGTGTTTACTTCAATGTCACTTTTATATTTACATATGTTCTATCACTAATATTTATCACTTAACCCATAAACGTACCATAACTTAAAAACTATATTTTATCATATATATATATATATATATATATATAATATTAGTAGTTAATATCCAAGTAGTAGAACTCAATGTCCAGGACAGAGTAAGAATATAGTAAAAGTCTTAAACACTAGTAACGATGGGTACTAGTGTTTAAGCCTTTAATATATATATATATATATATATATATATATATATATATATATATATATATATATATATATATATATTTATTGGTCAGTTTTTTGAATTAGATCAGGGAAACAGTAATATTAATAAGTGCTCAATATACCTCTATAAAGCAAATCAAATGACATAAAAATTTAACATGTACAGCTTTTAAATTTGAAAATTAAATCAGCCGATCATGTGACCCTGGTTTCAAACTTCAGGTGTCTTCAAGCGTTCCAGGCTAAGTAATTTCTTAACACTTCATTATTTACAAATAAATAAACGCACAACACAAAGACTAATAGAAGGGGAGGGGGAAAGCAGCGATATTGAAATTGTATTGGAGTGCGGGTTTTATGAAATGTACATATTTTCATACTGGTTCAAAGAACTGGAAAGGATTTTGTTTTTTTTCGTTTTAACCTGTATATATATATATATATATATATATATATATAAACTTTACCCATAAACATAGCATACATTATATATATATATATATATATATATATATATATATATATATATATATATATATATATAGTGCATGTGCGATGGATAAATTGTAGTCTAAATCACGCAAAAATGAAAATAAAAGCTCATGTTGAAAGATGCAAGAGAAATGTATAATATACCAAAAACTTTTGTTTGACGTTGGTCATTTTCACGGAATGAAGGCAGAGGTTTATGATTTTAAAAATCTGGAAATTTAATCAAACGTGTTGTTCACTTGCTATGGCGGTGGAATATATTATGACGTCACTTCGCATAAAATAACATTACGGTTCAAAAGGAAGATTTTAATACATTTTATTGATAATAGCTTGGCATTGTTTGATCTAAAAGGTCACCAAAAATGTGAATCCTTTTGTCGCGGTTGGATTGGCCGAATACCTTTGTCGACTGAACGAGTGCGGTTCAGTAACGCGTAGATAGGCAGTGTTCTTAAATGCGACCCGTTCCTGGCGTGCAGGTCAACGCACGTTGTCCGTGGGTGGAAGACTCACTCTAAAATCCCATTCACCTGTTTATGCAGGAGTCGGGGAGGCGTTTACTGTCGGGCCCGCGAGCGTACTGCCTCCTTCGTCCGAGGACGTAGGAAACGAAAAACGGCATCCGTTATACGTGGCGAGCAGTTTTCTTTTCGTTAGACGAACCTCCCTTCAATCATGCGCGCTCCTCTCACCGCCCATCGTCTCTAAGGCGAGCTGGAATATACTCACGGTCGAATCATCGGTTGGGTGCAGCGTCAAACTTTCCTCCCACCGCCCACCTGTGAGATCCCTCGGCTTAAACTAGTCACGATTAAGGTCGTCGTGTATAGGCAGTGCATGAGGGCGAATCACTCTTGTGTCGGTAATTTTTTCTCCGAGTACGACTCGGCCAACTCTGGTGTAGCGAGCGGACAGGGACATGAGAGACATCGATCTACGCCCAGTCGGGATGAAGCCAGACGGAAGTTCAAAGTGCCTCTGACGTGCAAAACCATCGTCGAAACCGGGTGTAAGGGGCGAAAGACCAATCGAATGGTCTAATTCCAACCGATGTTTCCCTCAGGATATCTAGCGTTCGACCGTCGCAATTCCATCAGATAAAGCGAACGATTGGGAGCCCCGGACCGTTCACGACATCGACCTAATCTCTAACTCGGAACGGGTGGAACGTTCGACTATCCCGAATACGGAACCATTCTTCGCTTCAGCCGCCGCCGTCGTTGCAGCAGAAACGATTGAGAATGCTAAGTGGGCCAATTTTAGTAAGGAGAACTGGCGCTGTGATATTAACCAAACGTCCCGTTAAACTACATAAAGTGGCGCCCCTGAGATTCCCGAAAGCGTGCTGGTTGATATAGACAGCAGGAGGGTGACCACAGAAATCCGCGAAGGAGTCTGTAACAACTCACCTGCTGAATCAACCTGCCAGGCAAAAACCATTATACCGGACCGTATTATCGAGATATGCGTAGCAAAATATTTTGTAAGGACACGTGGCACAGTGGATAAAGGCGTTAATTAGATCCAGTGACAGGACCCAAAGAGTTTGAGTTCAATACCCGGTTAAGGTAGTGGAGAACTTGGAGAGGAGAAATTAGCAGGAGATAACTGATAGCTGACATCCATTAAACATGGCACGTGGAACTAGAACAGTCTACCCCAGTGAGCAAAATAAAGGGATCATTTCGACATTCCAATCACATGAAGAAGGCTGGAGCGTACAACGACCGAAACGTTGTGACAAATATGGCGACAAAGATGAGGACAATAGACTGAATAATGTAAAAAGTGTACATAATAGCTCATCTCAGAAATCTAGACAGTTATTTTGTAATTATTTATAGGAAATCTATGTGTATCTATGTGTATGTATATATGTTAGCGTGTGCGTGTGTGTGCGTGTGTGTGTGTTCAAGTGTTTTTTTGTTTTTTTTTGGCGGGGGGTTCTATAGCCATAAGTTCAGTTGTATTGGAGTGGATATTATTTAGAGTTATCACTGTTTCTCAATTCCAAGCCGGACTATTTTGGGAAACAATTCACTTTGAGTGCCTTCTGGACGAAAACACCTTTTCTTTTTCCACTCGACTGGGCCGAAGATTTTCATTGGAAACAACCGACTCATAATTCCAATAAAACAACAAAAATGCCAAGAATGACTGAGGTCACAAAAACTATAAATATCTACAACTATTACTCATGAGGCAGTTGATTGCATACTACTTCCCGTGAGTAAGTAACACTACACTACAATGGCGTAACCAATATCTAAATAACTGAGCGAGGAATTATCAATTGATAATTATGAGTACACAGAAGCGTGGATTATGATTCTAGCAGCTAAAGCTAGAACAAAAAAGATGACGGATTTGGAATTATTTGGGGAGAAAACCAGATAGCTGATCTCTTCTTCGTAACTGTGAGGCTATTATATACTTACCAACAACTGCACACCCAAGACAATTGGTGGAAATGCCGTTTGACGATGAAAGTTAACTAAAAGTAAGAAATATAGCAACCAAGAAAAAAATAATGAATACAGAGAGAGTTATGCTCATGAACATTTCTCAATGGGTGAATGAACCAGTTATTGAATATGTCTTCGTCTCAAACAGGCCGCTAAATAGTGTGAATTTGAGAAACCCGGAGCGGAAAAACCAGTCAATCGAAGAAGATTTGATCCAAATGATATTGATAAGCGATATTCAAAATGAGGAGTATCGGCAAATGACTCTAATACATTTACAACTATAGAATAGTGTGTCGAATTTGTTCAGTAACAAGAATTAATTTTTAAAAAATTAAAAAAATAATACAAAATTTACGTATCTGCTCGCGGATATAGACAGATACGCGATAAATAGAAATGACAAAAAAATGAGTAATTTTCCGTGTGTTTCTCTACAGTAAGGAGAAAAAAATGGCCGGCATATAAAAAATGTGAAAGCATTTCCAAATTAATATTTTTTAAACGTATGCGTAAGTCCACAAAGAAAAACGTAGAGACGGTTCAACAAAATGAAGAGAAAATAAGTACGGGGGTATTTTCTTTCAAAAGAAAAATGAGAAAAGTTTAGTTAAACTCGAATCAATAATGTCTTATTGGACAGGCGACTAGATAGAAGTAACTTGACGCTGATACCCAGAAATTTCTGGAAGAAATTATTTCCTAATTTCTTCCAGAAATTTCTGGGTATCAGCGTCAAGCTACTTCTTGAAGTAAAGATTATAAACAAGATTATCAGAAAGCCTTATCCAACTGAATCATTTCGACAGCTCCGTGATGAAAATTATCGTGGCAAACTGTGAAAAGAATCATGGTCTAAGAGGAAATTATGTACTGAACATAATTGCGACAAGATTAGTAAATATAGTCAAGGCGGGAAACTGGAAGGTTAAAAAAATATGAAACAAAGTTAAGACTTAAAGAACATGTCTTCCCCTCGTATTTTCAAACACGAAAATTGTCATTCTATCCACCACCAACATTTGTGAGAAAAACTAAAGGAATTACTGAGACAATATCTTCTTGAACGAGTTTCGCTATATCATTGGGGTATAAGGTTGAAATGAAAATACAAAAACGTAAGGAATCAGCACATATGCTAGGCCACAAAAATCTCCTAAGCCTGCCAAGCGTAGAAATGAACACAGTATGTGAACAAGTACTACAGGGGCTAGAGAAAAGCGATAATAACAAAAAAGTTGCAATATGAGCTCTGTTAAAAATCGTTACTGATATATTAAGTTTATAAGTCCCCAAAATTCATACACTGATATCCTCAAGGACCCATGGCACAGTGGATGAAAGCATTGGTTAAATCCAGTGATTTGATGTAAATAGTTGTGAGTTCAATATCTAAAAATGGGAATTGAACCAAATGGAGATTTGAGTTAAATGAAGAGGCAAAGTACGTGGAACTAGAGCAATCTAACCCGTGTCCGATATGAAGTGTTCAGTTAGAAATTCCAATCAACTGAAGAAGTCTGGAACGTACAAATATCGTAATAAAGATAATATCAACAGTCAGAAGAGTGTAAATAATAACATTTCTTATATTGCGTAACTATATTTTTATTTATTTTACAAAACATTTTAAATTTGTGGGTGTATTTAGGTGCAGAACACTTTTTGCCGGAATAAAACTTCATTTCATTTAACTGGACAGGTTACAGGGAATGAAAGAGAAGACTGTGAAAAGGGATGGATTGACAAAGGGACAAAAAATGAAGGGGAATGCCACTAGTACGCAGGGGTTTACAGGGAGTGAAAGTGAATGAGAAGACTGAGAATAGGGAGGATTGAGGAAAGGACAAAAGAGGAAGGGGAATGCCACTAGCAGGCAGGGGGTTACAGTGAGTGAAAGTGAAAGAGAAGACTGAGAATAGGGAGGATTGAGGAAAGGACAAAAGATGAAAGTGAATGCCACTAGTACGCATTTGGTTACAGGGAGAGAAAGGAAAGAGAAGACTGAGAATAGGAGGATTGACGAAATGACAAAAGATGAAGGTAATACATCTAGTACGCAGGGGATTACAGGGAGTTAAAATGAAAGAGATGACTGAGAATAGGGAGGATTGAGGAAAGGACAAAAGATGAAGGGTAATACCTCTAGTACGCAGGAGTTTACAGGGAGTGAAAATGAAAGAGATGACTGAGAATAGGGAGTATTGAGGAAAGGAAAAAAGATGAAGGGTAATACCTCTAGTACGCAATGGGTTACAGGGAGTGAAAGTGAAAGAGAAGACTGAGAATAGGGAGGAGTGAGGAAAGGACAAAAGATGAAGGGTAATACCTCTAGTACGCAGGGGGTTACATGGAGTGAAAATGAAAGAGAAGACTGAGAATAGGGAGGATTGAGGAAAGGACAAAATATGAAGGGTAATACCTCTAGTACGCAGGGGGTTACATGGAGTGAAAATGAAAGAGATGACTGAGAAAAGGGAGTATTGAGGAAAGGAAAAAAGATGAAGGGTAATACCTCTAGTACGCAGGAGTTTACAGGGAGTGAAAATGAAAGAGATGACTGAGAATAGGGAGGATTGAGGAAAGGACAAAAGATGAAATTGAATGCCACTAGTACGCATTTGGTTACAGGGAGAGAAAGGAAAGAGAAGACTGAGAATAGGAGGATTGACGAAATGACAAAAGATGAAGGTAATACATCTAGTACGCAGGGGATTACAGGGAGTGAAAATGAAAGAGAAGACTGAGCATAGGGAGGATTGAGGAAAGGACAAAATATGAAGGGTAATACCTCTAGTACGCAGGAGTTTACAGGGAGTGAAAATGAAAGAGATGACTGAGAATAGGGAGTATTGAGGAAAGGAAAAAAGATGAAGGGTAATACCTCTAGTACGCAGGGGGTTACATGAGGTGAAAATGAAAGAGATGACTGAGAAAAGGGAGTATTGAGGAAAGGACAAAAGATGAAAGGTAACACCTCTAGTACGCAATGGGTTACAGTGAGTGAAAGTGAAAGAGAAAACTGAGAAAAGGAAGTATGAGGAAAGGACAAAATATGAAGGGTAATACCTCTAGTACGCACAGGGTTACATGGAGTGAAAATGAAAGAGATGACTAAGAAAAGGGAGTATTGAAGAAAGGACAAAAGATGAAGGGTAACACCTCTAGTACGCAATGGATTACAGGGTGTGAAAGTGAAAGAGAAAACTGAGAATAGGGAGGATTGAGGAAAGGACAAAAGATGAAGGTAATACATCTAGTACGCAGGGAGTTACATGGAGTGAAAATGAGAGAGATGACTGAGAAAAGGGAGTATTGAGGAAAGGAAAAAAGATGAAGGGTAATACCTCTAGTACGCAGGAGTTTACATGGAATGAAAATGAAAGAGATGACTGAGAATAGGGAGGATTGAGGAAAGGACAAAAGATGAAAATGAATGCCACTAGTACGCATTTGGTTACAGGGAGAGAAAGGAAAGAGAAGACTGAGAATAGGAGGATTGACGAAATGACAAAAGATGAAGGTAATACATCTAGTACGCAGGGGATTACAGGGAGTTAAAATGAAAGAGATGACTGAGAATAGGGAGGATTGAGGAAAGGGAAAAAGATGAAGGGTAATACCTCTACTACGCAGGGGGTTACATGGAGTGAAAATGAAAGAGATGACTGAGAAAAGGGAGTATTAAGGAAAGGACAAAAGATGAAGGGTAATACCTCTAGTACGCAGGGGGTTACATGGAGTGAAAATGAAAGAGATGACTGAGAATAGGGAGTATTGAGGAAAGGAAAAAAGATGAAGGGTAATACCTCTAGTACGCATAGGAGTATTGAGGAAAGGA